AATTATAATATATACAATATTCATTACAAATTACAAATTGCGTAAAATAATACAGGAAGTATCGATTTCATGTTGGCCACTATTTTTACTAATTATTTTTTTTTAATTAGTAAATGAAAATTTATTCACCGAAAAAATTGACATTTAACCAATTACCCCATTACATATTTTAACGAATACATCACTGCCAGATTAATATTACACTTTTTCAAATTGATAAAGTTCTTGACAGCTAATGGATATAAGAGGAGATAAAATAATGTAAATAAATGTTATTGAAGATCACAATCAAGTGATTAATATCTGGAAACTTTTGTGTGATAAACGTTCCCCTCGGGATACCGAATATTGTAAAGTATACTTTAAGGAAAAATAGTATAAATCAAATGAGTTTTAATTTTCGAAATGTTCTTTAGACACGATCGTTATAATATCTATACCGCTTTAATCGTTTCGCTCTGAAATTAATTTAAATTAATACCTTGGTAATATTCTGGAAGGTGAATACAAATTTGAGCATAAAATTATCTCTAAAGGAAAAATGTGTTTACTTATAGTGTCCTGGTTAAATATCATGTGTCATCTAAAGTATACTTACGGTAAATGTATTTCAACTGAATAATCAACATTTGTTATACATGCTTGGATTGCAAACTTTCCAAAGGCCATTACATAATTTGCTTAGTTCAGAAAACATACGAAATGAAAGAGGTATTTTAAAATTCATAGCTAGTTTGGAATTAAAAAATAACACACTATACATTATACATCATTAAGCATTTACACCCCAATTTTACTAAACATTCATAAGCTCCATTTCCAAAACGAAGTAAAAAAATATCAAACTTGTCGGTGTAGTCTCGAAAAATCATGCCCACAAAATATTTAAATGGCTCGTGGGTTTGAGCGCATTAAAATACAATAATTGTATTTAAGTGTTAATTTCGCTAGCAATTCTGTGTAAAAAACAATTGACGTTAGAAAAAAAATGTTTAATTTATATATATAGGTATAATAATAATATGATACAATAGGTTACAATTATTATTAATTCGTTCTATGTATTATCGCATTTCGTTATAGGTACACAGACTTGTATTTATTGAATATTGAGACCATTGGAGTTGATAAGTTTTTTTTTTAATTTTACGTGGTTCGTGCAATAATCGTAAACTCGTGCACTTTTTGTTGTTTAAATACAATGAGCAATATAATTATTGACGAATTTAACATAAAGAAAACGGATTACGGTTGTCTTCGAGAACGGTTACCCATCGATGGTTCGACGTGAATGAATTAATAATTGCTCGGTTTTTTTTTACAACGCATAAATTTATATATTTTAAATAAAATCTCTTCTTATTGCGTTTCCGGGAATCTGTTTAGTATTTCTAAATAATGATGGTTTTTCGCGATCGAGATATATTTAAAATGGAAACGACGTAAGGACGTTTGCCTTGGCGGACGGACGTAGATACCATTCTGGTTAAGCGACTTTACGGGACAGAAGATTTTGGAGTACAAAGACCAATTTACCTATATTATAGTTTATTTATTTTGTGTATTACACAACCATCTCGAAATATCTAAAGTTAAACGCTGAAAGTTATATACAACTTTACAGAGTTTAAATACTGCTGTTTGCCATTCAGAATAGTATTATATAATATTTAAGATATTTTATTTAGAATGGTAAAATACAATGTAAATATTAAATTTTCTCTTGTAAGTACCAAAAAAATAAAGAAAAATAATTCAGGATTAATATATATAGATACTTATTACATTATAATATTTTATAGGTATTCAATATTATTTTTTAAAAAAAAGGTTATTTAATTTTTTAATAAATATCAAATATTATTGTAACTATCAAACAATTATCCGTATTCTTAGTTTAAAGTCCAATTCTATATAACGGTTGATAGGCTTTTAACATGTACACAATTTGAAAAATAGTAACAAGATTATAGTGCACTCAACCTTAAAGAGGATTTATATTTATTAGATTACGTTTTGGAGGTTGCTTAAGTGGGTGTTTAAGGATTAAGGAGTATGTTATCTTATACAATTTAACTTAGAACGATTTTGTGTAGAACTCTGCTTGTAATAGGTTTAAACCATATATTAGCCTATGTGTAAATGTTTATAAATTCTAATTAAATAAAAAGTATTTTTAGTTTTCCATACAGTTATTGCTTATACGTTATTGAAATAACACAATTTTTTAAATCATATAAATATATAATACAATCACTGATCAATTTTAAGCATTAACATATTATTCCAAAATAATACACGAATTTAAACATAATATATTTAGGGTATGTAGGTTCAGTTGAATCCAGCATTTTTTATTCAATATTGTGCATATTATTCTATTGGAAACCAGTATTTTTGGGTTTCCTCATTGTATTTTAATGCAGGTTGTTATATTCTATAACTTTTTTAAATTTAAAAGTTCAAACTAGTTTGAATATTTTATTATTAAATTTAGTTTGGCCATTTCGTATTATTTACTAATAATACTTTGGTCTTTCAAATTCGTGGAATCAACACATTATTTCACATTCAAGCACAATATAATATTATAATATTGTACTATTATAGGTATAAAACATTTTTATATTAAAGTATGCACATTTATTACCTTTCATCAACACCGATGGATATGAGAATAGTTCATGTAAACATGCTTAGCATACTACAGCAAACTTTTCATATTTTTCATTCAGACAGCATAAATTTAGGTTTATACCACTAAACAATTGATTTCCATATACATTTATAGGATGTCCAAAATAAATGTTTTTTCATAATTTGAAGAAAATAATGTAATAGCTTAATTTATTGATACAATATAATATTAACTAATTAATTAATTAATTATTTCTTAATTTTAACATTAAAAAATTAAAATGGATAAGTTTTTAATATTTTAGATTCTGTGTGAAGCCATGGATATGGTTTTTGAATGATGTGTGTGTTTTCTAAAGTCTCATCACCCAAAATTTATTTCGTTTATTTTGTTGTAATTTAAAAATTAATAACATTAGAGACTTGAATTTTTCACTTAATATTTATACTAGCGATTTTTAAACATGGTAAATTTTTCAAAAAATATTGCTCTTTTTGTATAGCAAAATGTTTGTTTGGGAGTACAATACTTGAACATTTAATTTAAAGCAAGTTTTTTCATGAAAATTGAATAATATCAAAAATACAAAAATTAAACCTCTGATTTAATATCATGTTGTAAGCATAATATTTTTCTGAAGATTTTAACGTAAGTACCTACCAATAAAAATTGGACTTAAACCGGTGAAGTTAATTAGTTATAATTTATTAGTATTTAAAATTAAGTTCAGGGAAAAATTCACCAACGTGTTGTCGCACTCATTACATAAGCCATATTAATTCTTTAATTGCTCAAATCCATGAGAATATTGCTGTTAAGTGATGAAATAATGATTAAACTTTAAAGAGTATTGAAATATTTGAAATAGAAGAAATTAAGAACACTAATTAACCATGTAAAACACTATGGGACACTTTGTGTATAAAATACTTGTTGATGACTGAAACATTTCCACAAAAAAAAAAAAAAAATATTTGTTAATTGTAAGAAAAATTTAAAAATATAAGTATAAATAAGTAGTAAGAGCATAAAAATAATAAAATAAGTACTGAATATTTTTAAAATGTTTATTATTGACTTTTTTTAAACTTCAAAAATATACTGTGTTAATTACTTAATTTTTTTTAAACTGTTTATTTTAAAAATCAACGATGTTATCATGTATTATGTATATATAGTTTTATGTGTACATCATAATTTACTATTTCGTCAATGTATTTTTCCTACGGTTAATTTTTGGAACAACTCAAACGCGGACATTTCACCTAGATTCACGTGTATCGCATAGACGGTACACGACCGCGGTGGGGCCTAAATACTGCGATTAAAGAGAATAAGCCACCATGAATAATACACCTACCGCATGTCTGTACGCGATTTGTTACGTTAATGACGGCTGACGATTATATGTATAACAATAATACACAAGACCGTTACACGGGAAAATATACATTATGCACGGGGTCTCGGGGGTGTGTTATTAGGAAAAATCAAAATTAAGTGTTCGAAGAGTGGGCAAGAGTGCGCAATATAAGGCACGAGCATCAGATAGCCCGCCGGGCACGTAATTGCGCAGACGTATAGAACCACAGCGCCAGTTCACGTATACACGATTAATGGCCTTCGTTTTTACTTTTTGACGTGGTTGCCGAATGTATGTATAGTACTGCGACGGATGAAAGACTAACACGCGAAACGGAGCACTTTTAACTGACCATTCGGCCGCGATGTATGTGTATGGGCCACGTCTCCGAAATTAGGTGAACCTTTGAATTACCACTAAACTTCTAACTTATCCGGTATGCCCCCAAACATCCGATAAACTTTCGACTAATTTCAATTAATGGGTAATGAGATACGTATATACCAAAATTAGTGGATAGTGGATCCTTTAAACTTTGAGCTTGTGTTGTAGCGCTGAGTATACATAATAATGCATTTCAAATATCTGATTTCTATTGATTTAGAAATTGTAAATCATCAGACGCGATTTTTTATTTAAATGTATTTTGATCGGGACCGAATGGTAGGTACTCAGCCAATTAACAAAAAAATAAAAAACTTCTTTCGACAACTAAGTTCTGAAAACTGGCAAAACATTAATTATATTATATACTTACTATATGATATATATTCTATACAGTCATCCAATTCACTTAAATATTTAAAGTATTTTACTCCGAAAAAGATAATATTAGGCAACTCAAGCTGTCAAGTTAATACAGTTTTCAGAGCGAATATTTAAGAAACAATTAATTATGTAGCAAGAGTATTTATGTACAAATTTATACGGTTCAAGTTGCGTAATTATGAGAAAAAAGAAATTCCCTGTTGAGTACCTATTATTATTATTATTACTATTATTATTATTCATATAAGATTTATAACTTTTATAAGTTTTAAACATACACTTTATTCACCGTGCTTAAAAGTTACTATAGTTTCATGTTTAATATAATAACAAGCTATTATATAACAGACTGATATTAAGTCCTATATTAAAGACAAAATTTAAAATAATAATAATATGCAAAACATCATAAATATTTTTATCTTACCTTTTTTTTATGTTTGTCTAATTGGAAGTTCAGTTTATTGTTTATGGTATCTGGACAAAAAAAGGTAGGTAAAACTTTATATACATAAATAATTATTGCGCCCGGCACTTGGTACCTACGCCAAGTAAAAAAAAAATGCTCCTGCGCAGTGTGCACTGCCCACACGAATAAACTATCGAAAAAAGTATAAAAATTTGTATGCATAGAGGGCTTCCATTTTGATTAGGAATAAAATCTAACGTTCTCAATAATTGAATTGAAAATACAAAAATTTAAAGCAGATGAATATATCAAATGGTTGACGCGATATTTATTTCATTATTCACGATAGGTATTTTATACAATGTACATTTACAATTTCCATTTGAATCAAAATTATTTTCTTACTGTAAATCACAATACTTACAGGAATATTATGAGTAGGAAACATAGAAGTATTGTATAATATTTAATAATATATTATATTATTTTGTGATTTTTATCAACAATACGAATTCATTTTAAAAATACCTACTCATAACTATTTTATCTGCACTTATTATACATGTATAATTAATATTACTGCATATAGTTCATAAAATATAAAATTATACTTTTTTAATTGTTGTGAGATTGTATTGCTAATATTATCTATTAAAAATTGAAAAATTTCATTATGAAATGATCGATCACCATTAAAAGTATTATGTGATGTTGACTGACTTAGATGTGGTAATATAAATGGACAAACTGAATAAAATAATATCAGTTTTTAATTACTTCTATACTTTACGGATAATCCATTTAAACTCGAAACCCTACAATAATTAGTAGTCATTTATACACTTATTAAAAGGTCATATTAATTGACGTAAATGCGTACCCGACTTATTTGAAAATATGTTTTTACATAAACTAGTAAATTGCACACGTCATCGTTTTATTTTCTGTTACAAAAATGTATAGGTTAGGTTATCTACCTATTATTAAATTGCCGTTTAAAAGTTTTTGTTTTGTATATAGATAAAAACATAAAATATACGACTAAAAAAGTATAAAAATTACCATCAAAATGCCTTATCCCTAACCTAACCTTACGTTATAACTTACCGATTGGTATTTTATAATATATCTTATACAAGTAAAATAACAAATCGCTCAGCTATGTAGACGTCTAGTAATTTAAGTTAAGTTAGATATTAGGCTTAAAATTAATCCAAATATTTTGAAAACTGTTATGTGCATAATATAGCTTTTTAGATACAAAAAGTATCAAGACTTTACGATTAATATTTTTTGAATTGCAACAAAAATTGTTTAAATAACAACATTTTGTCAAAATGTCAATAAAAAAAATGTTTACGTGTATTTGTGAAATTATTCCACTAAATTAAAAAGGTTAGGTTTAACTTTTATTTAATTTATTTTTATTTAACTTTTAGTTATCATTTTGAGTTCCTGTTATATGGTTATTAATTTTTGAGTTACAACAAATATACAAAATTGATTTTGTCAAAAATCAGTGTCGAGTAAACATTTCTGATTTCAGTATAGTTGTTTTCTTTTTCTCTGTTTCCCTGTTATTTTTGAAACTTAAATTTTACTTATAACAATAAACGCTGTAACCGAATTGAATGTTTTTGCTTATTTTTAGAAGACATAATTTCCTAGACAACATTTTGTATGAAAACATCTAAATACGGGCTAAAAATGTTAACAATATATCCCACAAACTAATAATTTATCATACCTACTAAGCATTTTCGAATTTAAGCGTCGTCGCGTCGAGCGACGTTATGAAACTGCATATTGTGTTTGCCTGGCAGTCACTGCACAAATGCTTGGAAGTCATCATTTGCTCTAATCATGACTATTGGATATTGGTCCATGTATGTTTCTGTAAGTTTCCTTAGAGTTAGCAATGTTAGCGTATAACATTATACCCAAAAGGTTTCATCGGGTGCAGTTATAAATTTATAATATTTTAATGAAATACCCGAGCATTGTGTCGTGACCTCGAAACAGTCTTAAATTAATATAATTGAAAGTTGCACTTGTTAACTTTGTTACACTTTACAAAATATTTGTATATATATGTATAAAATATATTTACTCGAGCCGCTTACGCCTATTCGCACGTCAATAATTCACAGTACACATATTGGACACGTACTATTGTTATTAGACGTTCACTATTATACAATACGGTGTTTTTATTATTATCGATCGGGTTTGTTGACTGCCCAATATTATATTATATATTTATAGCAATATTACAAATACTGACTTTTTCTATTGATACTTTGCAATATAAACATCGTCGAATTCAATGGATGAAACAATTATTATGTAACATACATAAATACATTGCCCCAAATGATGTCGTGTCTAAACATTCGTACGCAAAACCTTTGTACACACACACACATATATATATATATATAGTACCTACTTTATATTGTATGTATACGTTATACAAATACGGAGTGACACAGGTCACGGAACACCCACACAGTCCCATTAAACTTTTCTTATCGTAACAATATTTCGGAAAATGTTTGGTTTTTTAACGCGGTGGTGTTTTTATCATTTAAAAATATATAACCGTCATCAAAAAAAAAAAAAAAAAAATACACTTAATTGATGAAAGTATAGTACGTACAAAAATAACGCGAAACTGAGATGTGAGGTACCACGGTGAGGGTAGGTATATGACAGCAAGCGGTGTTCAGTCTCTGAAAAATAAACCTACAAGCACCTCGCTGGTCAATACCTCCACACAGTACCAGATTTAGCCGAAGCACCCCCAACTGAGCATGCTGTACGTTATTTTTATTAAAAACTACTCGGATACCGGCATCAGTAATCTCGGAGAACTGCCCAATACGTATTGATATTGTATAGACACCGCACTACCAACGAATGAGTACAACTTACCCCGAAGTTGATCGTAATAGTTATGAGGTGCCCGAGGAGCATAGTTATTATTATCATCGAAATGGCGCCCACGCCACAAAAAAAATCCCAGATCCTCCGCCCGAACACACCGATCACAGGCCATTTTACATGACGGTCGCTTTCTCGCTTTCGCAGGGTCTCGGGTCCGAATTACCGGCGGGACGTGGAGAAAGCCAGACAGTCCTCCGCCGAATCGGCGAGAACAAACGCCGCACTCAGATGGCGACCGACCAAGTTTCCCGAGCCCCACGACCCGGCTGGAATATTGAGATTTGCGCTGTGCAAAATCGACCACGCCGAACAGTGCGCGGAGGTGGCGATCGGCGACGGGGCGGACAATATCTGCTGCGGAAGCTGCAAAGGGGAGAAGGCAGACATGCTGGGGTGCGGGAGCTGCAGGGGCGAGGCGGCCGTCTGCATCGCCGAAGCTCTGTACGTGTTGAGCTCGCGAGAGGCCGATGTGATGTTGGCGCACGCTAAGCGCACACTGCCGCCGGAAACATACAGTCTGGTGTGCGAAAAGTACGTCGAACTCAAGAAAAACGCACGTCGATGATTAGCTTAACAGTATACCCAATCAATTATAATAAAAATATTTATGTGCAGCGCAGGGTGCCTTTCTTTTCTAATTATTATACTACGCTTACTACTTTTACGCGGTACTGGAGGTTATCGCCCCATCACATACCATAATATGAATAAGATAAATGTATCGTTTGCATGATATACATTTATTTTTAATTAAATATCATCCAAAGTTACAAAAACGACAGTGACAAAACATTTTTAAAAATCGTATTGTTTAATGTAGGTAGGTACTGCAAAATTCTGAAGTATCCAATAAAATGTGAATTCTATTATTCCCTAAGCTTCGCAGGCCACCGCACGAACTCTGTCAAATATAGGACTCGGAGAAATTTCGTGCAGTACCACAACACAGTGAAATTAGTCTCCTCCATTTTGAAATCATCCCACATTATCTCGTGAAATCTAGAGATAAGGTTCACAAAGTTGTACTTATGGCTAACTTGACCATGACGATAATAATCTACCTCTTGAATATAATTGTTCAATTCCACAAAGTTGTACTTGTGGTTAACTTGACCATGTTGATAACCTACCCCTCTTGAACATTATTGTACGATTTTCAACAGTCCGAAAACATTATTCATCGGCCGCGGCAGAGCGATAACAGACCAGTACCTTTTATACACTACACCGAACACTGACTGATTTTTAGTAGAAATCATCGTCGGTGGTTAGATTAGATAGATAGACGGACTAGTGGGTGAACTTCTCCCCCACTCCCTACCTCTTCCCGATAATATATTTTCCTCGTTCGGGTATATCGATTAATATTGTATACATGCCTACATCCCTAAACGAATTAACAGTCACTACGAGAGAAGTCTGGTGACTTCAAACCTCATTAGGTTCAATAATTAATGTTGTCCAAGTAATTTATGTCTAATACGCATTTATGTAAATTAGTAACAATAATGACTATTGGACGAAATTACGATTAATTGCGATTGATACGATTACGACAACTTGAAATGGATATAAATGTATTATGTAGATGAATAACAACCGACAATAACAATACTACAGTGCAAAAAAAAAAAATGAGTAAATTGCGTTAAACTCAAGTCATTGTATATTGTGTAAAAAAAAAAAAAAAAAGAGTATGCGTTAAAACTGATCGTGCATCAAAAAATAATAATAACAATATTATGGTACGATGCGTAAATATAATTTCTAGAAAAAAATTATATTTAAATATCGATTTTTGTATGAGTATTCAGTAGTTTTATACGGCGAGTGGTGACATACCCAACCGTTTACATATTATAATAATATATATCGTCAAATATTTTATACTAACCCGCGAATGTCGCTACAATCGATTAACACGCCACTAAACTGCGTACACGTATATTATGGATAAGTAAATATTATACAGTAGGTAGGAACAATAATAATTTTACGATCGAACTAATATTGTACAATATGCTGCGCAACCAATATGCAATTAAAATTAAAGTTTAGAAAGAACTTTGACTTGCGTTAAAGACCAAATAACCACAAAACCAACTAGGTAGGTACCTATATAATAAACTTATAGACTCCGCATAAAAATTGATTTTTGAACAAAATATTTCGTGTTAAATGTACATTCAAAACGGTTGCATGTCATTTAACCTAATCTAATCTGTTCTACAAACCATATAATTTGTTATAAAAATCATATTGTACACATATTTTTCTAACTACGACGACGTAGGTTAGAATAGGTTTAGAATTACCCATTCATATAGTAAACGAAAAAATACACTACAACTATAAAAAATATGATAATCTATGTAAGACATTTTACTGTCCAATCGACAATTACTTAGTACTTTTTAAATATTTTAAATTATGAGATTGTTCCAATAAATTACGGACGTGTGTAGGTACAGTTTTGGTAAAAAATTATGTTTTTCAATCTGAAATAATATCGTAATGGTATATTATTATATTAATTATAAATATATTTTAATTGTATCGACTACTAACCTCGTAACTGATGCTAAAATTATGTATCGCATAACATTATTTTAAACCATTAAAAAAAATTAAATTGTAAATACCAACAAGACGTCACCGTCGAATTTATTTTTGATTATTTCATAAAAGATATCGATGAACGAAGACAAAAATACGTTTTTATTTATTAAATATATTTGCTGAACAATATGGTCATGTGCCTATATGTGAATGTCTTGACGTTTTTAATTGAACGGTGAATTCGTTTTTTAGTAAAACTAATTCGGTATACCACCTTTATATAGATCGAAAATCGAGTCTAGATGGTACTTTTTTATCGAGAAATATTGAAGAAACGAATCAACAGGCGAATTCCGTTTAGAATTTGTTTTTGAATGCCATTAACATCTATCAATACTATAAAATTGAGTTGCACCACACTATCTTGAAGAGTTGAACAAAGCGAGGTGAGTGCCAAGTACATCGTCACTGCAGTATTATGTTTTGTTTTTTTCATTATAGATCCAATGAGGAGAAAATTACCAAATCATCTAAAATATTATTCACTTATGCAATAGTTCTAGGAGGTTATAAATATTAGATGTAGACGTACACTTTCATTATAATTTATAAACAGCACAATGTGTCCTTAAATATATTCATCTTGCTGCATAGGTAGTTTTATACTTAAATGAATACTAAATATAAAAATATTTTATTAATATATAAATGAAGAAGCTATTATGTAGGTAGGTGTGTATAGTAGGTACACGACATAATTATTCTTGTAATAAAATAATTTCCTATTAAGAAAACAATTTCTTGTAAGTAATCATTTGCACGATCTACATAATAAATGTCCATAAATTACTAGAATTCGTATTAATTTAAATTATTAGTTCTGTGATTATAATTTAATATAATTAAGGAATGTAACAATTTACCGAAGAATATTACAATATAATATTGTGTCCTAAAAAACCTGTACCTATCCCATTAGCTCTAAATATAAGAATACGGAACTCGTGTTTTAAAGTCTGTTCATAATAAATCATAATGTACTTATGTATTTATCTATGTGCCTATCAAATATACTTTGTAACACATTTTAACTTAAACATGATAAATACTAACAAGAACACACGTCATTTTGAACAATTATTTTCAGAAAATAAGCTGAATCTGAAAATTCAGATGGATTAATGGGAAAATATGTTGAAACTAAATTAAGATTTCATATTATATTGAATGAGAGCTAATGTTTTTCTACGGTTTAATAAATACTGGAGAGCTGCAGCTACGACTAAATCGATCATTTTAATGGTCGGGGATGTAGAGAAAACAAATTGCCTGCTGTAACGAATATTTTAAGTTTGTATTTTCGTAGTTTCTCGGTAGTGTAAACTCTTACAGCCTACCCTTTGTAGTTTGTACACAGATGCATAAGTCGTAAAAAATTCACAATAGTCAACAATAAAATCGCCATTGCTATATCATTTGTTACCTCGTAAACTATATCTCACGATAAATTACTAAGAACAATAAAATTAACAATGAGGTCTCAATATTTTCACGACCAATAAATTTCTTATAAAAAAAATATTAAGCATACATCATTTTTTCGTCATACTTCCTGAAAACGGGTTAAAATCAAATTCAATGCACAAGATTAATAGAAACATAAAATACAGTTTGAATTTTATTCCGTAGTGTTAAACGAAGCTATTGATTCAATACTCTTTTTTATAAATTAACACTTTTAAGATACTACTGAAATGTTATACAATAAATTAATTTGATTTAAAATTGAGTGGAGAATATACTTCAAAATGTTTGTGCATTTTTTTATATTCTACCTATGTACCGAAGGCCTATATAACTAAAAAACATAACAAAATTTGCATAGTATCCGATAATGATATTCAATCATAATTAATTAAATAGAATTCACTCACCCGAGAAACTTTAGACAATTTCAACTTCGATTTAATATGTCACTTCTCCACGAATACACAATACAAATATCTGAAAATCATAAAATCATAAAATATAAATATATATTATATACATTAAAACAACATTAACATATTTTTTATTTAATTACGTATACATTTAAATAAAGAAACATGTTTTATACATGAATAAGTTTAAGTGATCAGTTGTGTGTTGTTAGGTAAATAATATACATGTGAGTTTATGAAACTCGGCGTACTTCTAGAACCTCGTGAATATTTTGTAGGAAAAATAATTTTAATCGGTGTATTTTTTTTACATAAACATAATAAATAAATAACACTATTTTTAAATGAATAATTCTAACTACAAATTATTTTAAATTTGTGCATAGCTAATAAAGTGTTAAAACTCAACAAACAATTAAAATTCTATTTATAGATAAGCATATGTACAGCAATATGGTACAAATATTCTACAATACGTATAGAATTCAAAATAATGAATAATTTATAATTCAATTTTTTGATAAGCTTGAACAATAATAATAGCTATGCGATTTTGAAATGATTGGCTGGCCTAACCTATTTCGAATTGAACAAATATATTATACCTAGTGACTTTTCCACTTCGCAAAAAAAAGGTTTTTAAACTTTTAACACAATTAATGATTTTATGTCAATATACCGAACATTTCCCTTTTACTTTTCTACAGTATTTTTAATGATTTTTCCTCAAACTATTAGCAATTTTGACAAACCCGAAAAATACTATCCATGTTAAATTTTTAATTGATGGACATGTATGAAACTTTTAGAGCATTTTTCCTACTTCAAAAACTTTCCCCCCAAAAATACACAACATTATCAAACAATTTCCTTGCTTCTGTTTAAAATCATATAATATATATATAATATATATTTATATGCGTATAAACTTCAAAACAAATTGTTTTCTGAATACTAATAATGAGTATATAAGGTTAAACTACATTACACAACCACTCATGGATCATATTCAAATATATATTTTATTATATATCAATTCAATACGATATTAAATTTATGCATACCTGCAATAATAAATATATCAACTCAAGGTCGAACGAGAATAAAAAAAATTATAATATACCTATCAGAATTTTTTTTTTTTAAATTGCCACTTTACAAATTGTATAATAGCAAATTTATATATTACTAGCTGCCCGATCTTCCTCCGGAAGAAATTATTTTTTTATAATTTTGTTGAATGTAAACAACACACCCTGTATTATATAGATTATAAGCAAATTATTCACACTGTAGTACAGCAGACGCTGAATAGGCATTTTATATTTCTATAGCGTATTCGTTATATGTACTAGCCTGTAGAACGATTAGTCGTTGTTTTATATTACGCATCGGAGCACTATAGTTATTCATATCAATTATACATATTATTATATTATTATATTATTACATATCATATCCGATCTTACATTTATTTACCTTTAGCTTCTGTATATCTGTGTACTTCAACAAATTTAATTTAAAAACAAGACTATTTTTTGGCTATACAAATAATTCAACGATTATAAAATAAAAAAAGAAACAGACATCGTTGTCGGTGAATATATGAAAATAATTGGTAATTAGTTAATTATAATTATTATTATTATTATTATAATGAGGGGGTTCAAACCCGGTTTCCTTCGTCTCCAAAATCAAGGTAGATTCTTATATATATAGAATAGATAGAAGATAGATAGATGAGTTATAACACATCAAAAATTAAAATATATTATGTCCATCGTCTAACCGTCAAGTGTACATAATTATTTTATGTTGAGGATTTTCTCAATAAAATACAAATATTTAATTATATTTATGAATATTTTTAGAAAGATTTATAATGTTACTAGTTAGTGGTGATTCCGTGTGTTTAAAATAGACACCCACCTATAATAGTATAATGAAGAAAGGTTAAGTGTTAATGTAGTAGTATCATTATTATTATATAGGTACCTATTAGTTCTAAATAATATTAAACACGTTTATTCTTTTTGAATCCAAGCCCAGCTAATTTTACCAATGTTCAAAGTAATAAGGTCGGCCTCTATTTCAAAGGTTATTTTAAAATGTGTTTATATATTACTATTAGTAATTTATTATTCTGGTGGCAGTATAGTTTGTTGAACTAATGTTTGCCAAAAACATCAAATATAATATTGTTATACCATTGTTATTTAGTCAATACCGACGGACACGTAGACTGTAGAGTAGAACGATGTCATTAGGAGTATCAGTCCAAATCATCGAAAGTAATTACAGCTAAGTGATAATAGGGAAGTAAAAAATAACGAAAATAAACTGGTGGGGCAATGAAAATAGCGAAATCCAAAGCAAATATTATTTACAACGGAACAATGAAAAAAAGGTGAATATAGGTACATCGTCGATAATAATATGTGTACGCAATTTATTAGGAAGCGGTTCATATTAGTAGTATCGAAGAACAAAGACAGGTATAAAATATAATAATAAATATAAACAACCCACATCATAATCTGTAGGACATCTATCGCGACAGCCGGTAAAATACGTTCGATATATTTATATTTCGAATATAAGTACCATACTAATACAAGACATACGAGTAAGCAAAAATAAAGCGAAGAACACGTGCGGGTACGTTGAAGGCTTGCGTGAAAGTGTGGTGAGACTTCAGGAGTAAAGGGCTCACCGTGGAGATTTTTAATCTATATTTTGGGGTCTTCGACTTATTATTTTCGATTTCATGTTTATTTATGAATATACAATCTGTAAACACAACCTTTTTCAAATCAGTATATAAATGATGCGATGAATTACATGATTTAAATAATTTAATCAAAGAATACTGTGAATCACTACAACGACTGTGGGTCCACGATTTTTTTTTTTTATCGAATATTTTATAGGTGTTATGACGTAGGACCATTTAAACGCCATTTAATGCTAGCGTTAAACGTAAATTAAATAAGTATTAATTTATTTTCATTTATACTTGACATTACAGGTATATATATTATATATACGTTCGTTGTTAAATATCTATGTAAAATATTTTAATTTAAATCAAAGTTAAATATTGATTTTAATATTCACTTTTGTCCTCTGTGCTGACACACACACACACGTTTTCAATACTAAGGTTTAGATCCACGAATAGTTCCTTAGACTCTTAGTATAATAGTCACAGATTAGCCTAATAATTTTAAAAAATAATCACATGTAATAAAATAATAACAGTATATATCATAATAAATGGAGAAAAGTTTCTACAAACTTCTGAGGCTTATACTTTTTGAATGACAACATAACAAATAAAATTACTATTTACTTTTTAGACATCTAATTTTATCAAATTTTTAAAGAATTTTATAAGAATAACTCTTTATTAGAACCTTAACTATTAACATTAAAAATCGTATCAATTTTTAGTATAGAATAACATTTTTAGGATTTTGACGAATTTCATCAAATTTTTACCATGAATTTTCAATTTTTTTTTTATTACAGTAACAGAACATATTAAAACCGGAAATTAATATCAATAATTTTTATAGTTAGTTCAAAAAGGTTCAAAATGTCTTAAAAACTATGGCATGATTTCCTAATTTCAAACAACTAAGTCCATTTTTCTACCAAAAACCACCTTAAGTATGGACAATTTGAATCGCATTTGTACTGCTCCAAAATTTGATGGAACAAAAAAATAAATAACTCCACTCAGAATCTAAAATTATCCATTAAATAATTTGTCTAGAGTTCTAGATAATTTTTGCTTGAATTAAAGGCAACTATACCAATTAGAAACATTTATTGTGTAATGTGTAATGTGTAGGTATTTTTAATCTCATTTTAGAGAATTAAGGCTAATTATTTAATAAAATAAGAACTAACTTTTGACACAGTATTATTTTTCTTTTTTTTTCATTATCTTTTAGTTAGCTATTATAAAAGTTCTCAAAAAAAAAATGCAAAGACAACTTAACCGGTAACTGTAACATCCTGTTGCCATTAAGGTTTTTTTCATTCCATACCTTCCGGATATCCGAGTATCAACGTATAAAAAAATACACTGTTTAAATTATACTGTGATTCCATTAACAGGACAAAATTCAATCCAATGTTATACAATAAAAATGCTCCATATAGCTGAAATTAAAACAATCATTCACTATACTAAAAAAAAATTGTATGTACCTTTAGTTGAATATGTATAGGGGTACAACTGTACAAGGGTAAAATTATATTTTGTTCTACTTTTTAAACTTGAGTTTTAAAGTGTAAAAGTTTTTATTCATTGTACACAATGTTGCCTTAGCCATTCATACAATCATATTATCAATAGGCAGATATTATAATATCCATGGTTTATAATTAAACGGTGGTGCTTAACAATGAAACATTTATATTATAATAAATAAAAAACGATTACACATTTGCCTTAATATTATTGTAATAAAATATTGTGTTAAGTAACGCAATGACAAACCAAGGTAAGTACCTACTTAGTATTATTATTTATTATAAATGCTTAGGTTAATTTCGTTATCTAATAACGAGTTTCGTTTACATCCAAAGCGATAAATGTATAACAGTGCAAGCTGTGCCTAAGCACAGGCGGGGAGGGAACTCAGTGACTTGGACATATTAGCTATGTATTAAGTAATTATTCTTATAGTAAATACTAGTTCATTGATAAGTACGATTCACGACATATTCCGGCTTAACATAATATCGTGTAGATAAAACGCAAACAGCTGCGCTGTCGGACTAGACATTTTTTATTTTGGTACTTTAGTCTAAGACTTGTTATTTATTTGATCATTATTATTATTTAAATATTTCAAATATTAGTTTGTTGACTATTCGCTATTCGTGTTCTCTAGACTCAGTGTTAAGAAACATGACGTGTTACAGTATTGCTAAAATGTTTGGTACATTTTTTGGTCGATTCGAAAATAAGCATTGAAATTGATTGAAATTTTTAAAAGAATTGATTTTCAACTGTAAGGATGTTATGAACGTTAAGCTGTAACATTCTAA